AAGCTTTCAAAGGTATGGGTGACACGTGAAGGTCACGGTAGCTGGGGGCCCCATCCTTGCTGTCACAGTGAGTTTGCACATAAGCCAAAGCACACTTCATATTTTCATGGTTAACACTCGTAATGGAACTCTTTCATGGAAAATGTGGCCACCTCATTGAGATTCCACAAAATATTCATCGCTTTTGTTTTATAATTCCATTCTGAGGACACCTCTAAAAAAAAATTAGTCAAATTTAAAAATGAGAAACCAAAGCTTTAGTCTGAAAAATGTTTCTCACCATGTTATAAAGGTAAACAGAAACAACCCAAATGCCCCCAAAATGAACAGTTAATTAAAACATGGTATCTTTTTAATAATCAAATAAAAATTTCCACTACAGTGGCATATGATAATTTGATAGCACACTATACAATCTACAGTGGAGATGAAGATGTTCTAACTTGCATATGTTAAAAGAAAAAAAGCAAGTTTTAAAATTGCTTGGGTTTAATAAGCCTACGTATAATCGAACAACATGAAAACGCATCCACACGAATTTATGCAGAGAAAGAAGACGTGGAAGCATGGCATCAAATTATTAATGGTGACCATTGTGCATTTTGGGATGACGGGTGTCCCTCTCCCTCCCCCTCCCCCTTTCTCAGGTAGATATGTATATACGTATGTATACGTACATGGACATTTAGCTAACCTACACTTTTCAACTCTTTTAAACGAACAATTACTACTGTTATAAAAAAAAAAAAAAAAGAAAAAAAAACCTAAGCGTCACAGTTTTTTTTCACATATCAAGATCTGGTGAGAGTAGGAACACAGAACCTGATTTAGAAAAGCTATGAGAAAGGCCCCCGCCCCCCATGATAACTCACCAGACCCATTCCATCTCCCAAACCCACTCCGTGTTATGCTTCCATTTTCACTGTATTTGAAAATATCATTTTAGCTGTTCCTTATTCTCGGTTTTATAACGGTCTTTTGCATGAGTACAATTTTGACTAGAAACAAACAGACAAGACAGATGGACTGAACTTTTCACCACGTGTCAATCTCAAGAAAAAGAATATTCACATCTATGCCTGTGGTCCCTGTCACCTTGTACCTGGGCAGCATGGAGGAGGGAAGAAAGAGGCAGAGCTTAAAATCTGGACTCCGGCCCCATAAAAGGTGTTTTCTCTAAGCCTCAGTCTCTTTACCTGTCAAACGGAGATGTTGCCTATATCGCATGGTTGGTGTAAAAATCGAAGGAGATTAAAGGGCTCCAGGGCTTGGTACACAAACTCTTAGTAACAAAAGCCCCCGCCAGCTTCCTGACTCCCCCTCCTCGTTTTAAGTATTATTCAGGTAGCCATGCCTCTTTAACTACTTCCTGTTGAGAATGGCATCTCTGGGAGACAGTGGAGCACGAAACTTTGAGTTCTGGAGTCAGGCACACCTGGATTCCCATTCCGGCCTTTTCACTTAATTGCCATGTCACCTTGAACAAATTTTCTCAGTCTTTCTGAGCTTCCGCCATTTATAAAAGTCGGTTACTTCTAAGTGCTTACTGTATCGTATCAGCGTGCGGGTGGGGACAGCACACTCCAACTGGATGATCCGAGTGAAATGTAATAATAAAGGGATATTTACTGAAGTGGATGCAGAACTGAGGGGCAGTAACAAGGGCCTTGCAGCACCTGGGGAGAGGAAGAGTGGGGGGTCCTTACCACCCAAGGCCTGAGGGGCCAATGTCAGCAGCTGCTGGAATTCAGAGAGAAAGCCGCCTGGCAAGAGCGGTGACCTTCGGTAGCGGGACAGGGCCTTTCTGTGTCAATCCCACAGGATGGAACAGGGAGAGAGATCTCAGCCTCTCTCTCCTCCTACCTGCTGCTCCCTGTCAGGGCGCCTCTCTGAACAAACCCTCATGGAAGCCACAGGGAAAGTGAGCTCAGAGATTTGGCCCTGATGCATCAGCCTCAGGGGGCACAAAGCAGGGTGGGGAAGGGAGGGGCTAACCTAACCCAACCAGCAGTCATTAAATTAAACTTATGGTGACAAGATCAGAGCACAATGCCTTATACGCTATGGATGCACAATACAGATAGATCTATGGCATGGGTGGGTGCGTGGGGGGGCAGACAGATGAATGGATGAACGGCTCAGGAAGGTGAGTGTTCTGTCTACCATTCCACAGCAAGAAAGATGCAAAACTATAGTTAGCACCAGCCAGGGGAAGGTCTGCGTTCCTTCCCCAAAGCACGTTTTCCTTCCTTTGGAGGAAGCTTCCCCACTAGCCGTCACCCACCCGAGGCCTCCGCGGGAACTTCCCTCCAGCAGGCTTCATCAGACTTCCTCCTCAACGGCCCAGCCTTTGGCACTCAGCGTGGCTGCTCCTCTCCCCTGAGAGTCTGCCTGAACTGAAGCTTAGCAATCGTCGGTTCATGCCGCAGAGCCCTGCTATTTCATCAGACCTTTGATTAACTTATTCATCTATTTTGGTTTCCATCAAAGCAGGCGAGCTTGGTGAGGACTGAACACCAGCGCCCTGGGTTAAACCATCTAATTAGATTGCCCCGACTCCTGGATTTATTTTTAACACACATGTGAGGCACGCGGATACACCGTAGAACAGTAGGACGATGGGCATAAATTACTCTCAACATGAGCCCGGGCCTGAATGTCGCCAAGTCCCCGACTTAATACCTAATCAATTAAGTCGGAGTGTTCAATTAGAGGTAACAGAAGCATTCAAATGAGTTTGTACGCAGAAAGAAAACCCCAGAAAGAAAACTAAGGAATCTACGGGAGTGAAGAACGTGGGGCGAGAAGCCGATTATTATAAATAGCTCATTCTCTTAGAAGTAGCATATAACATCCCCGCCTCCACCTTCAACCCTGAGCTTCTTTCCAGTCTCCATTTAGAAGGCACCATCCTCCCACCGCCCCGGGCTGGGCGGGGGCTCCAGACCACGCTGTGTCCCTTCCTCCTGCATAGCATGCTGTCACGCTGTGTCTAATTTCCCATGTCCCACTCCAAATCTGGGCTGGAACTCCCTGAGGCAGGGACGATGTCATTTTTACAGTGGTAACAACAGTCATTACTCATAAAAGTGTGTGATGAGTGTGTGTGACTGCCGGGTTAGCCGGGGCCTGGGTTCGAATGCTACCTCTGACCTTTTCTGCCAACTAGTGGCAGGCACATCCGTCATGGTTGATGTCCAGGGTCAGTCCTGTACAACGGAAGAGGCGTGGCTTGTTGAGCCCCAAAGCCTGGGATTCAGGTACCAGTTCTACTTCTAATAATTTGCGTGCCCTCGTCAAGTCATTGAACGTCTACGAGCCTTAGAGTTTTCTCACCTGCAAAATGGGGGCTCGTAACCCTCTCTTCACAATTATCGCTAGGAAGACTGTGAAGCATCCAGCCTAGTGCGGGGCCCACTCCTCTTCTCCCAGTGACCATCTGTCCACACCACGGAGGCTCAGATGATTCAAGTGTCTGAACTTGATACAGGCCAGAAACTATGGTCCCTTTCACAGTACAAGGAAGGCTGGGAATGGAGATGGTTCTGTCAGGGGAAGTGAGTCGCCCATCCCCTTTTCCTATACCTCCACGTAAAATTTTAACAAAATCGCAAGCTGAGGTCCACTGGGAAACTCAAAGCCTCCTCCGGTGGATTTCTCAATTGGACAGCACATCTTTGGTTTTAGAAGGGAGAAGAGCGGGTGGGACTGGTAACTCATGCAACCTTTTGCTTATTAAGTCTCTTGCTACAGTCTACACTGATATTAATCTCACTCCCAGCCCACGATAAACCTCAGTCCAACCAGGGACACAAAATCATGGAGTCAGTAGAGAGAAGACCGTCCCCAGAGGCAAGCTGAGAACACCTGGAGGGCATCACGCAGGCTGACCCCAGAGGACCCGGCGGAGACACCAGCACCTGACAGCGATATTCTAGCTACATTCTTTATCGTTATAAACACGCCGGAGGGATCATGTAATTAAAACGATCATAAAACTGAAAGTTAGGCTTATTTTAATGGACATATTATCCTTGTAATGGCTGTTAATAATTCTAAGCAGCATGTTCTAAGATTTAATTAGCAAAAATGCAATCGTGCTAAAGAAAAGCACCTAATGCACTTACACCAAGGAGCATCTCCGACGGCAGGTTTTAAGGGTTCCGGTTGAAAGGGGGTGGCTGAGAGATGGTCTCAAGGGGACACTCGTCTT